CATACCTTATACACATGAAGTACACTTAAGTACAATCTTGATACACTATTTTAGAAGGTACAACATGACCATGTGGAACTGCAGGCTTTTTTCATAGTAACATTTAAGTAGACCCAATTGGGTAACACTTTATTTTACGGTGTCCGTGATACAGAGTAATTACTTAATTAATAACTTAGTAGTAGACATTGTAATAACATGTAACTAATTTATGGAACAACCTGTACTTACAGATTGTAATTACACTCATGTAAGAGGCAGCTACTGTTACACATGTGTAACAGGCCGAGTCAGTTACATACGTGTTACCGACTTGGTACAATGTAATTATATAAGAAAGTACTTTGTACTACACAATGTAACAAGTAGGCCTACTTAAATATGTTACTATGAAAAAAGCCTGCAGTTCCACATGGTCATGTTGTACCTTCTAAAATAGTGTATCAAGATTGTACTTAAGTGTACTTCATGTGTATAAGGTATGTAGATACACATGAAGTACACTTAAGTACAATCTTGATACACTTTATTTTGCGCAGCTTATCCCTGTGTAATATTATGTAATTGCAATGTAATTAGGAAGCTACCACATGCATTTATGCTGTGAACGAGGGAGTTAGGCCTAATTCAAACTAAAGAACATATGGATAAGGTTTGTAGATACACATGAATTACACTTAAGTACAATCTTGATTCACTTTATTTTACGTAGCTTATACCTGTGTAATATTATGTAATTGCAATGTAATTAAGAAGCTACTGCATGTATTTAAGCTGTAGACTAGAGGGTTAATTCAGATGGGTAAGGTATGTAGATACACACGAAGCCTTGATAATTTATTTTAGAAGGTACAAAATGACCATGTGTAACTGCAGGCTTTTTACCTTAGTAACATATTTAAGTACTTGTTACATTGTGTACCAAGTCGGTAACATGTATGTAACCGACTCGGCCTGTTACATGTGTAACAGTAGCTGCCTGATACATGTGTAATTACAATCTGTAAGTACAGGCTGTTCCATAACTTAGTTACATGTTAATTACATTTTGTTACATGTTATTACAATGTCAACTACTAAGTAATTAATTAAGTAATTACACTGTATCACAGGCACCGTAAAATAAAGTGTTACCCCTACTTGTTACATTGAGTAGTACAAAGTACTTTCTTATATAATTACATTGTACCAAGTCGGTAACACGTATGTAACCGACTTTGCCTGTTACACATGTTAATTAAGTAATTACTCTGTATCAGGGACACCGTAAAATAAAGTGTTACCCAATTTGGTGAATATTGTGGACTGGAGAAAAGTTTGGTTACTGCCACTTATTGTAAATAAACCTTATTGTAAAAAAAGTCAGAGAAGTTTCATTTAAATTAATTTATAGATTCTATCCAGTGAAAAGTTACCTAAAAAAATGTAAAGCTGACATTGACATAAAATGTGATTTTTGTAATGAACAAGATGAAACTACTGTATACTTGTTTTGGGACTGTAACTATACCAAATTGTTTTGGAAGAGCTTTTGCAGGTATATTACTGATTTTGTATACCCTAATTTTTCTTTATTCTAGAAATATGTTTTATTTGGTTTTATTAATACGGAGAAAAAACTTTGAGAAAGAATCTTACTTTATAAATCTATTACTTCTCCTAGCAAAATTTCATAATCATAAGTGTAAATTTTCCAATCATAAGCCATTATTCAGTCTTTCTCAACGAATTTCACCAATACCTTCAAACGCTATCTATTTCAGAGAAGACCAAAGCAAGGAAAACATTGTCTTGTTGTGCTCTCTTCAAAATCCCCCTTTAAAGTTTAATTTATTGTCTTAACATGCTCTAACTGTTTGTATCTCCTTTATGTATTTGATTATCCTCTCTTGTATTATTATTATTGCTAATTCAGTTTTTTTTCCTTTCTTTCTTTTCGTCTCTTCTCTGGTGTTTGTTCTAATTTTTGTATTACTTGTACACTATTAGTATACGTACGTCCGAAACTCGCGAGAATTAGTCACCCAGGTGATTTTCACCTACTCTTTTATGATTCGTACATTTCGCTCGCCTACTCTTTTTCCCATACTATATAGTAGGGAAGTATGCGGTTTCGAACGCAGACAGAGTGATGAAGCCAATCAGTATATGGGGATGATTAGGAGGCCATGATGGACAGAGGCCAAGGGGCAAATTTGGCCAGGATGCCGGGGTTACACCCCTACTCTTTTTCGAAGAACATCCTGGGATTTTTAATGACCACAGAGAGTCAGGACCTCGGTTTAACGTCTGAAGGACGTGTGGATGAATTGTTCTGTTCCAGTGATGTTCTGTGACTCAAGCTTGAAGGGAAAAGATATCGCCTATTGGGGTCAAAGCCTGTTCCCCAATGGCATCTGCTGAAGCCTTAGCAAGCAAAAGCCTCCTGACCCAACACGGTCTCACCCCTTTTCGTCACATACTGCCGTTTGGTCATTTCCCCCTCACGTCCATATGCCGACGTTGAGGGTACCCCCTATTCGTCGCTTGATAACGTCAATCGGTCGTCCGATAGATTTGAGTGCAAATCCCTCATCTTTGAATTTTGACGAAATGGGTTATATCCGTCCAGCGGTTTGCCTGTGCTGGAAAGGATGGTTTTAGGCGATTAATTTTATGCTGCAAATGTGTATTTTGCAGTAGCGCGCGGCGCATATAGGCTACTGTTACAATCATTGGTGCGGTGACCATTTTCGTGGGGCAGAAACCCTTGTCTAAATCGGTATCACGACTTTTTTTTCTCTCTTTTTTATATAATTTTGGCCTACATTAAAATGGCATAATTACAGGACTGTATATTTGCTGTATGCTTAAAACATGCCTTAATTTAGGTGGGATATTTAATAATTTTCGATAACATACTGTCGCCGTTTGGTCATTTCCCCCTCACGTCCATAAACCGACGTTGAGGGTACCCTCTATTCGTCGCTTGATAACGTAGAGGGGTCGTCCGATAGATTTGAGTGCAAATCCCTCATCTTTGGATTTTGACGAAATGGGGTTATCCATCCAGCGGTTTGCCTGCGCTGGAAATTATGGTTTCAAGCGATTAATTTTATGCTGCAAATGTGTATTTTGTAGTAACAGTTAGCGTATAGGCCTACTGTTATAATCATTCATTGGTGCGGTGACCATACATTTTCGTGGGGCAGAAACCATTGTCTAAATCGGTATCACGACATTTTTCTCTCTTTTTTTAATATATTTTGGGCTACATTAAAATGACATATTTACAGGACTGTATATTTGATGTATGCTTAAAACATGCCTTAATTTCGGTGGGATATTTTATAATTTTAGATCACATAGCCTACTGCTGTTTGGTCATTTCCCCCTCACGTCCATAAGCCGACGTTGAGGGTACCCCCTATTCGTCGCTTGATAACGTAGAGGGGTCGTCCGATATTTGAATGCAAATCCCTTATCTTTAAATTTCGACGAAATGGGGTTATCCATCCAGCGGTTTGCCTGCGCTGGAAATTATGGTTTCAGGCGATTAATTTTATGCTGCAAATGTGTATTTTGCAGTAGCGTATAGGTCTACTGTTATAATCATTCATTGGTGCGGTACATTTTCGTGGGGCAGAAACCATTAAATCGGTATCACAACTTTTTTCTCTTTTTTTTAATATAATTTTGGGCTACATTAAAACGACATAATTGCAGGACTGCATAGGCCTTTTTGCTGTAGGCTTAAAACATGCCTTAATTTAGGTGGGGTATTTTATAATTGTCGATAGTATTTCAATTTGCAATGGCTTTACTGAGCCTACAACAGTATAGCCTACAACTTTGCTTTTTTTGCAAAAAAAAATAATAATAATATTAGCCTACTTTTATAGAACTTTCATCTCAATACTGATTATGAGGTTGTGATAGTCTATTGCAGAAATGTTTATATTGCTTAATATGGACATATCCTTTGGCAAAGAGATGGATGCATTCTGGGAAGTGATGTGTTTAAATGTATGGCTACATACACCCGTGTTTCCTTCACTTAGGCATTTATGCTGACCCCTTTAAAATTTTGAGCAAGTATATAAAATATTAAGACTGTACTTTTTCATTATGATTGATATTTTGGCGCAATTTTGTGCACACGTCACTGTGTGCGACCATCCCAGAAACCATTGCCCAGCGCGATTCCACCACGGTAAGTCGCTTACAACAGTCTAAAAAGCAATATAAATGAATAAGCATTTACACGTCCAAAATTAATAAAATTACGAGTTTAATAAAATAAAATAAAAATGATGTAGACCTATATGGCTATACATATATACACACCATGTTTTTGTGTGAAATACTCATAAATAATATTATATGATTATTGGGGGATATATATATATATGTATAAATATATAAAAGTATATATATAAAAGTTTAAGTCTGGCAAGGCAAAGTTTATACAAGTACCCTGATCATGTTATTCCTGTTTGTTTATCCATTTGAATTAAGGCAGAACAAGGATGTGTTCAAAATATCATGATAGAACCCTTGCTCACACAATGACCTTTTTTATAATTGTGATTTCATGAATGAACAAGAGCAGCATTTACTTAACTTCTTAGCCTAGTAGTTATTCTTAGCCTAGTAATTCATATTGTAATATGTAGTTTGGTGATCTATTCTTTTTTTAATTGGTCCTTCTCTTTCTCTGCAGGTACCTTAATCCCTGTCCTTTAAAAAAAAAACAGCACCTCATTACATCGAAAAAAAAGGCACTTTTAAGAGCCACATTTGTCTTGTATCTTTACTCTCTCTACTGTTGTATTGTGTTCTCTCTCTCTCTCTTGCTGTCTTACTGTCTCTCCCCCCCCCCCCCTCTCTTGCTGTCTTACTGTCTCTCCCTCCCCCCTCTTCCTCCCTCCCCTCTGAGTGAGGTTTTTGTTTGTTTGTTTGTTTGTTTGTTTTGTCTTTTTTTGTCCCTGTGTGTTTATAGTGTGTTTATATTTTGTGCCATGTCTGATCCTGAGATGGACCGTCTCCTGAATGAGATGAGTGACCTTGTCGATCAGGCTGAACATCAAGCTCACCTCAAACAGCTCATTAGCATGCACCAGGAAGCAGAACCATCCACCAGTAATCCATCCACCAGTCGGTCATCAAACAGCAAGCAAGATGTTAGGTGGATTAAGAGGGACAGTGATGGAAACATTATTTACGGCAGGCCCAGATCATCCCGGAAACAAGCAGGTATGTTTTTTTTTTTTACATTCATGTTAATTAAAATGTAGACTCCAGATCTAGTTTTGCATCTTGGAATGGTATACAATATGATCTCAAGTCATGGGTCTGAATTAGAACATATCTGAGGTTATTATTACGTACCTGTGCCTGGCATCAGGTAAAGTTTGTGTCATTGAGTGTAAAAAGCAACAGCTTTTTTGCTACAGCAGGTCCCAGTCACAGCCAGAGTCGAAAGACTGGTGTCTCTCATGTCAGGGCTCCAGAAACCAGTGCGGAAATGACCAGTGACTTTCTTTCCGTTACTGCAGGTGTGTTATTTATTTTGACTTCACTGGTTCAAAACTGTATGTTCATTTATTATAAAATGGCCATTGTTCAATGCTATTCTCTTTTGTTAACATAAACTACTGTTTTTAAATATTTTGCATTGTTTTAACAGAGTCCTTCCTTCAAGAGCTTAAAAGCTCACTGGGTGAGGACATACATGAGGATGAAACGGCACTTCAAGCCTCAACAGACTGGTCGACCCGAAAGAGCCTCATATCAGGGTGGTGGGAGAAAGAGAGACCCCGACTGGTCAACACCTTGGTGGCTCGACAACATGCGGCAACTCGGATCTGCCAACATTGTGGAAATGGTCCAGCCGTTATCCGTTGTTCTGACTGCCGACCACACCCATTCCTCTGTGGCCAGTGTGATGTCAGGGTCCATCGAGGTCAAGTGTTCCACAACAGGGATTCGATGACACATGCATTTTTTCATCCATTGCCTCCCACAACTTGTGTTGTGGAGAGAGTTCTAACCCAGTGTGGTAAGTTTTTAAAAGTCACATTCTTAGACTTGACTGAAAAACGAAATACTGTGTTCTGATAGGTCGATGAAGCCGTCAAGTACATCTTGTTTAAAATAGTTGCCAGTAAATAAATGTTATTCTTTCATTTTCATCCATGTGTGTTTTTTTTTTTTTTTAAGAGCGTCTTGTACCTTTGGAGATGCCAGAGACAATATGCGGTTGTCTACGAGTATCGTCCAGTGTCATCGCAGGACAGTCCATAGTTGTGGTTACAATGAATGGTAAGAAGAACTTTATGGGTTTGGGTGGGGGTCACTTCTGTAGAAGTGGCTGCAGAATTTCACCCACAGCTATTTGCTGATCACACCTCGTATTTACTCCCTCTCACTTTTCGTCACAATTATGCACATATACGAATCATGAATATGTTACATTCATACATTTTACATTGTGCAATACATTTTCTTTATCATGGCTGGAAATCCAGAGGTGTCAATAGGTTGTGTGTTGATTAGATTGGCTGGGCCCACCTATGTGGAGGAAAACAATTAACCTTTGTTTGAACACAGTTAATTTGCCTGACAAAAGTGTGACTTCCAATAGAGTGCCTTACAAAATGTTTGTAGAAGTGTCCTCCTGATCCATCCTTAGTCAAAGGTTCCCATTTCAGTTGTCAGAATGACACAGTTTGGTCTGTCAGAATTTTGTGTATATATTTCCTTCTATTTCCAGGGCGATATGATCTCAGATTGCCTCAGATTAGATGCAAAGCATGTGAAGCCACTTGGAGTCCTGGAGTGGATGACCTGATCCGCAATGACTACTGGCCTGCCACTTCTCACTATTCAACTGTGTACGCAACAGATGTCCTTTTTTCTTTTGAAGAGCTGAAGATGGCAGCACCAGGGATGTCTAGCCAAGCATTTCTTAGAATGCTGGATCAACGCACTGTTCGCTTTGGCCGTGTAAGTATTTGTGGTAATAATTGTGTAACTCCATAAATAATACTATGAGGGCATGATGATGATGATGATAGTACACATGAACATTTGCACTGTTTAGGAAAAAAAGTTGTTAAATTTAGACCCTTTATAAACAACCATAAACTCATGGTCTCTCATCAGCAGTTTGCACTGAGACATTTCTAAAAAAAAAAACAGGTCATTCTGAAGATCTCAACTTCAACTCCATTGGCTACAGACTTTGACATCTTCTCCCCAATATCATTTCCTGATCTCAGAAGTGATCCCTTGGATTAATGGGCCAAACATTGCACAGGCTTACTTCTAAACAATATGGAAGCTGTTGTAGCCCTCTTTGCATATAGATTTAGACTGAATGTCAAACAATATCCTGTATTTTTAATGACCAGGTCCCCCAAATACACCAGTGTATAGTGTATGAGTGAAGTCTACACATTGTTTATTTCCTTTGATATGTATTTTAAGGAGTGTTTACGAAGTTAGTACAAACATCCTAAAATGTATCCATTTAGAACATTTTACTTCAGTGTAATATATTGTTTAATTTGATCTGTTTTACAGTTCTCTTTTGTTCTCTTTAACTGAATTCTTCTTTGAAACAGAGCGGAAACTTCACAGCAGACAGCTTCCGGAAAAGCTTCTTGGAGTGGGAAGCGGTCCGATTCGAAGTGGACAAATTATGCCAGGAGGACCACTTTGACTGCCCAGCGTGCAGCCCAGACATGCTTGCAGTATCCGTTGATGGAAACCGTAAGCACTACAGATTCAAGAGTGCAGCAAGGTACTGTGTGTGCATTGACAGTCCATTACTTTGAAATTAACTGCTGTGAATTGAAAATCATATGAATATCTAAAGTTAATATGTATCTCTTTTATTCAGATCGGAGGAAATAGCCATCTTTGATGGCGTGTTCATTGCGAATGATGATGACGTCGCAAGATTCGTGGACTATGTCCATACCTCAACCAGTTATGTAAACTTGCACAACTTCACTATATTTACCTATAAAACACCACGTCCTACAGAGGACTTTGTTTGAACAAGTTTGGACTGTTAACCATCTTCCATGTTTTAGGTCTCTGGAAGAGGTGTCTGTGGAGGGCAATGGTCAGCGGCGCGTGAAACGTCTCAGAAGTCCTCAGGAAAAACAGACGAGGAGGGCCTGGAACTCGCTGTATGTCGTCATGGGGTTCTCCTTCGTGCCCTCAATATGTTCAGGGGGGAGATTTTTGCCTACCCCCTGTACCTCCAAAAGCAAATGGCCTGTAAGACAGTTACATTTTTTGCAATGGATGTGGCATGCAAGTACTGGCCTTACCTCCGGAGAGTGACAGAGAAATGCCCTGAGCTTCAGGATCTCCTCACCATGAGGCCATTTCTTTCTGTTTTTCATGCCAAAGCTCATGATTTCAAATGTGAGGTAAGAGAAAATGATTGTCCATGACATTTTCTTTCCATGAAATCCTGCATAAGATTGTTGCCACTTGGGTTTTTTTTCTTTTCTTTTTTTTTTTAAAGGTAAAATGGAGTGGAGCTTATCAGGAGGGGGCTGGTTCGACTCTTGGGGAAGAGGTGGAGCAGTGCAACGCCTTCCTCTAAAGGATTGCTGTTACGACAAAGCACATGTCAAAAGCAGGTAAGGTAACCAGTAATTTTTGATCCTGATGACATGGGTGAGCCACTTTGAGCTCATGCATATATGCTGACTCTGAAAATATAAAGCTCAGAATATTCAACACAAATGGATGGATCGATTACAATACCATCATCCTATTTTATTTGACGTGAGGATAATAAGGAAAGGCAGTGCGATATAAAAATTACACATCAGAGTACCATTCACCTACTGTCCTGCCATAGTGCTCTATGCCATTCACCTACTGTCCTGCCATAGTGCTCTATGCCATTCGACTACTGTCCTGCGCCACTGTTTCATGCTATTTCTTCACTATCCTGTGCTATTTACCTAACCCTTTCATGGGACAGTAATCAAATGGCACAAGACAGCAGATTAGTACCATAGTACTGTACTGTAAGTTATTATCTCTGAAAAGTTTGCAATTCAAGTCTGCACAGTTTCTTCTCCTACTGCTATTGGAAAGAAGGGTGATAATCTCATATTTTTTTATTTTTGCAGGACGCATAGACATGCTGACGATCATGGCCATGCGCTGGAACCAACAAAAATTTGACAACTTGGCTTCTACCCTTGCCCGCCGATATCGGAAGGTAAAGACACCAGTTTTCCCTTATACAAAATGCATAGCGATATTGTAAAATAAAGTGGCATATATCACAAAAATATAGAGAAGACTTGCCCAGACATTCTTCAATATATATTAAATATACGGATGGTTGCATGTGTAGTGTCAATTGTATTTTTTAGTGCCTTGATATAAAATATTGAATGTTCATACCACATATATTGATATATACGAATACGTATATACGAATATACTGTATATTTAATTAGTGTTGTATGTATTGTAATTTAATTAGTGTTGTATGTATTATCAACAATAGTCAAAGTGGTAGGCGTTTCCCTCATTGTCATTTATGTTTGAAGGCCACAATAGCCCTGCAATGCCAGTTGCATAACCTGGAGGCCATGAAAACGGAAATGGACATCTCAGACAATCAACTGGAGAGCTGGATCATTGATATCAATGAGTGGGCAGAAGGTAGTATATACTGTTTTATACTGTTTTATACCTTTACCTATGGTGCTTGATGTATCACTGACTTATCATCTTGACTGCAATTCCAAAGAGGCTCATTGTAATCAAAGAGCACATACTCTGATTGCTGATGACGTGTGGACAAGATTATCCCCATGGAGACAATAAAGAACCTAACTAACCTAACTATACTCAACCTTAGCTACAAGTGTAACCTCTCAGTTACAGAGAAATATGAAAAGATTGTTGAGGCTTTATTTTGCTCATACACCAGAAATAATATTTTTTCATGGAATCAAGAAGCATATTTCTGATCTCTCCATTTCTTCCTCTCAGCAACAACATCCCCAAATGATGCTGATGTTGCCGCTGTTGCCAGCCGAATTGGGGAGCTGGTGGCAAGTGTTAAGAGGAGGTCCCAGCGTCTTTATAAGGATAGTGACGGATGCAAAGGACGTGCCCGAATCCGCCAAAAGATCAGGGAGGGAAAAAAAATCTTAAATTCTGTAGTGGAAAAGTACAACACCTTGGTTCCTAATGCAGAAAAACTGACATTGGACACCATTTTATCTGACGAGATTGTTTGGCCATGGCAGCTTACACACAGTGGTATGTACACAATTCCGTTGACTATGTGAAATAGTCACATAGTGGCACAAAATCTGTCATGCCTCGATTGTAACCCCAGAAATTCTTTAAATACTAATCTTAAATACAACCAACTTATGTTTCATTTATGACTCTGTAGATCTAAGGACAAAGAGGAAGGCGTTCGACATTGTGATGGCAGTAAGGAGACTTGAGGAGAAGAGGATTCTTATTGCAGAGATGAACAAGCATTGGAAGTCTCTTTGCACCCGTGCAGACACCCTGAAGCAGATGTCATCCCAGCTTTCTAATGTCACATCAGGTATGTATTTGTTATACTTGGCATACATTACAGTATTTCTGAATGTTTCTAATTAATAAAGGCTCAATGTGTTTTAACATGTAAGGTGAGACGTGGGGCCTGCTTTAAGATGGTATCCGAGGTCTACAGAGCTTGACGATGAAGAACAAGGAAGCAAGCAACAGCCTGGCAAAACATGCAAAGAAATGTTATGTTCAAGTTCTGACTGAAACAGAAATTAACTTTGATAGTAATTCTGAGGAATACCATACCAGTAGTGACTCTGACCAAGATTAAACATGGCCAGAGTCCTTTTTTATGCTGTTGTCTGCTGGGGAGGCAGCATTAAGAAGAGTGCCGCTGGGACAGGTTGGTAAGGAAAGCTGGCTCTGTTTGCATGGAGCTGGATTTGATCATTTAACAAACTGAGGATAATTTGCAGTAGCAGTCTTCTGTCATGCTCAACATTGAGGAGGTCCTTTGTCCCCAGGGCAAACCAGCAACTCAATGTCACAGAAAAGGTTAGGGGAGAAATGGACTTTTCAGCATGAGTCTCACCCTGCACCAACCATCACATCACTTTGTTTATTGGACTGTCTTACAGGCTACATTAGCCCCTCTACACATTCTGGACTGTGGTCCCAACATTTACCCCTGTTGGCTTGTATAATCTTTTTTTCTTTTTTATATATATATATATTTAAGTTTCTGTTGTTCTATTTATTTTATCTTCTTTGTATTGTTTTTGTTACGCAATACTATTATGCTCTCACTCTTTTTTCCATAGTCATATTTAACATGCAAAGCTTTGCACTGATTAAATCCCTGAACTGTTTACTTTTGCACTACCACCACTGCACATCACTCCATAGCTGCCCATCATGTATCACAGGGTCAGTCCCTACCAGGCCTTTGTAATCACTTGACATGCTCTTCACTTTTTACATTTGTGATTTTTGTTATGTGTCTGAGCTATGTGTGTTGTTTTTGTGTTTGTATAAGCTAATAAATGCCTAAAATGTGGTGTGTCGTCTTAAGTAGTGTCTTTACTAGGGGGAAGAAGACATTTCATCATGACAGTTTCCTCCATCTCCTAGATACATCTTACATGGATACACAGATAACATTTATTCACGAGATCATATGGTTTATATGTATTTCTTTTAATGTTAATATTCCTGTCTTATTGCCAGGGAAGCTGGATTGCTTTGTTAATTGATATTTTTAAAACTATAATGCTTTTATTTATAATGCATTTATTTAGATGTTATCATGGTATTCATTACATTATTTTAATAATATCCTTTCAGTCTGATTATTGGTGAAACATTACAGTATGCTGTAAGACAGAACACTACAATGTGGGCCGAGGGGGTCACATGCGAATCCCATATACCGCAATGCAGGTCAGGGGGTCTTTAACGCCAGTATAGCTTCAATGTACATAGTTAGTCAGTGGTTTTGTCACAAGCAGCAACACTGCTCAGTTTTGAACTTTTTGAGTGTAGTTGAAGCCCATTCACAGCAGAAAAACAGAGGAGCCGAACGAGTCCACCCACCCAGCCCGGAAGAACTACAAGTAACACTAGCTTTGTAACTGTTTTGTGGTGTGTCTCTAGTGGAAGTTGTAGTTTTAAAATATATTGGAATATTTATCATAAGTAGAAGTTGGCAGTGTAGAATTTTGCATATACCCTGTTTTTTGGGGGATGGGGAACACACTGGTGTCATCAGATTTTAACATTTTAATTGTTAAATAGGTCAAAACATATTTGACAGTGCTTACAGTAGTTAAACATTGGAGACCATATCTACATGACAGCTAAGGTCCAGAGCTTTCTATAACAGCTGGTCCTGTGTGTGTTGCACGTTCTGTTGCTAAATGACAAGCCTTCAAACATGTACTGGGTTCAAGGTTCAGAGCAGAGGTCAATAATTCAAATCAGGAGTAATGTATCCTCTTCAGACTGACATAATGTTACTGTCGAGGTTGAGACCTTTCCAATGATGTGCTTGCTATAGTCCCACGACAACGTTTTAATTGTTACATATCATGAAGACCACTTTGCAGGTGATAGCCTCCTTTATTGTCCCCAGAGGAATATTTGCCTTGAGTTCAAATGCTTTACACATAACACTTAACATATTATTTTATCATACATCCGGCATATACTTTAAACAACATAAACAAAGTGATATGTAGCCAGACTGAAGCACATCAAAGCCACAGTCTATTGCTCATCTTTCAACCTACACACAACCCTATATGCATTATATCATGAAGCTATTGCACAACCGCTGCAGCCTCAAGCATCATTATTTACATTTTTAATTGAGGTAGGTTTAAATCAGGCCTATAGTTTAGAAATATTTAGTTTACATTGGGGTCCCCTATATCTACACTCACCGGCCACTTTATTAGGTACACCTGTCCAACTGCTCGTTAACACTTAATTTCTAAGCAGCCAATCACATGGCGGCAACTCAGTGCATTTAGGCATGTAGACATGGTCAAGACAATCTCCTGCAGTTCAAACCGAGCATCAGTATGGGGAAGAAAGTTGATTTGAGTGACTTTGAACGTGGCATGATTGTTGGTGCCAGAAGGGCTGGTCTGAGTATTTCAGAAACTGCTAATCTACTGGGATTTTCACGCACAACCATCTCTAGGGTTTACAGAGAATGGTCCGAAAAAGAAAAAACATCCAGTGAGCGGCAGTTCTGTGGGCGGAAATGCCTTGTTGATGCCAGAGGTCAGAGGAGAATGGCCAGACTGGTTCGAGCTGATAGAAGGGCAACAGTGACTGAAATAACCACTCGTTACAACCGAGGTATGCAGCAAAGCATTTGTGAAGCCACAACACGAACAACCTTGAGGCGGATGGGCTACAACAGCAGAAGACTCCACCGGGTACCACTCATCTCCACTACAAATAGGAAAAAGAGGCTACAATTTGCAAGAGCTCACCAAAATTGAACAGTTGAAGACTGGAAAAATGTTGCCTGGTCTGATGAGTCTCGATTTCTGTTGAGACATTCAGATGTTAGAGTCAGAATTTGGCGTAAACAGAATGAGAACATGGAACCATCATGCCTTGTTACCACTGTGCAGGCTGGTGGTGGTGGTGTAATGGTGTGGGGGATGTTTTCCTGGCACACTTTAGGCCCCTTAGTGCCAATTGGGCATCGTTTAAATGCCACGGCCTACCTGAGCATTGTTTCTGACCATGTCCATCCCTTTATGGCCACCATGTACCCATCCTCTGATGGCTACTTCCACCATGTCACAAAGCTCTAATCATTTCAAATTGGTTTCTTGAACATGACAATGAGTTCACTGTACTAAAATGGCCTCCACAGTCACCAGATCTCAACCCAATAGAGCATCTTTGGGATGTGGTGGAACGGAAGATTCGCATCATGGATGTGCAGCCGACAAATCTGCGGCAACTGTGTGATGCCATCATGTCAATATGGACCAAACTCCCTGAGGAATGCTTCCAGCACCTTGTTGAATCTATGCCACGAAGAATTGAGGCAGTTCTGAAGGCAAAAGGGGGTCCAACCCGTTACTAGCATGGGGTACCTAATAAAGTGGCCAGTGAGTGTATATACATTGGGATAAGAGCTCATACTTGACATGGAGAATATAGATATAGTTAGGGTTAGAAGAAGTGGGGACTGAGTGTATTTCATGAATAATGCAACATTTTCCTGACAATTAAGACCAGAGGCCTTTGATCATGAAGACATTGGCCAGATTAAACAGCACATCAGGCCACATGTGGCCCACCTTGCACAGCCAGGCCTTATATTTCCTACCACTGTCATAGGCCTTAGTAAACCGCCCACAGTCAAGTCATTCCAGGGACAGGGTGACCAGATTGATGTCCTCAGTGTCCTGGCACATTCCCTATTGTCAGGGAAACATAGGAAACCTACCTCTCTCCCTGGTTTTATGACAAGAAAACATTAGACTTTTAAATGATATTGATGGCCAAGCTGGAAATGTCCCTGGCTTAAACGATTTATCAGGCTCATGTCTCCGGTCTTTCTGATATCTGAAGTCTGATCACCTTATGTCATGCACATACTGTATGTTGATTGTTGACACAGAGGATGAGGAAATTATTTGTGAAATTTGATACCAATCTGTCTTTGTATGACGCAAAGGATATGAAAAAATGGCTTCAGTGGCGCTTCAGACGCTGTGTGATTTCAATTCACTTTCATATTTTTTGTTATAGTTCTTTCCTGACCTGAAAAATCATTGCTGACCCATGTTCCATTGATGAAAAATGATAAATGTACCTCTTCTCTTCATTGGGAATGTTTGAAATGTCTTAAGAACTCTCATAATTGTTCTGAACAGACAACCATGATAACAAAAACAAACAGTGTTGTGTGCTAGCGATCAGAGGTAAAAAAAGGATGCAGGGATAGGAGCCCATTTACTTTGCTCCAAAATTACCATCAATACTGACTAATATTTTCATGATCAGTTAGTATAATGTCAATTTGGTACTTTTTCTGGTTGCCTTGGCTTTTGGCTTGCTTAGTTTGGCTTGCTAATCTGCCTTGAGGATGTAATTTTCTTCTAGAAAGAAACTTTGTTGTATTATTTTCATGTTATCACTGTGAAGCTGCTTTGATACAATCTGTATTGTAAAAAGTGCTATATAAATAAAGGTGACTTGACTTGACTCTCACTACATGCAACTTTCCACTATCTGACTTTTCCCATCAAATACAGCACAAAGTCATGACACATTAATTATTCAGTGCAGTCAATGATTGACAGACAAATCATAAAATGTAACAATAGTGAATTTAATTATTGACAAATATATACAAAACAAATAGTGCAACAGTATTGGTCATCAGGCGAATTTGCTGGCCGGCTCCCAGGTGTCCTCCCAGACTCTGCCACTGTAAATAGTCCACAAGTCATCTTACACGTACAGCCTACAGCTCACAACTAGTCTTCTGGCTCAATTTGGAAGATATGTCATCTGAAGCTGAAAAATAAGGGTTTACCCCCTTTTTCAGTTGGATCATTTATTTTGGTTTATTTTATATGGCGTTTGTCAAACATCAGTCATTTTGTTCCAAGTGAAAACTACTGGACTCAGTCACTTGGACACTGAGACACCTTCGTCATCCCTACAGTCAACTCTTTGAAGTTCTGCATCAGGTTAACCGTGTCGCTATGCAAATACTCACCACAACGGGATGAGCACAGAAATGATGTGGTTAAAGGCCTCTATGTCGGGCGCAGAGGGGGTCAGCAAAGACGC